GGATGGCTACGGGAGCACAACGCCGCTGCAACTGGCCGCGGAAAACGGGCACGAGGCCGTCGCGAGGCTGCTCGTGCAGGCGGGCGCCCATAAGGACGCGGAGGATGGCTACGGGAGCACAACGCCGCTGCAACTGGCCGCGGAAAACGGGCACGAGGCCGTCGCGAGGCTGCTCGTGCAGGCGGGCGCCGACAAGGACGCGAAGGATGACTTCGGGTGGACGCCGCTGCACCGGGCCGCAGAAAACGGGCACGGGGCCGTCGCGAGGCTTTTGCAATAACAACTTCACCACCTCCCCACCCACCACCTACTGGATGCTTTTAATTATATACCTAAGACGCGGCAAATAGAAGGCTTAAAAATACGAAAAAAAAAAAAAAAAAAAAAAAAAAAAAAGTTGCTAGGCTAATGTTTATCAGATGGCGGCGGCTCCGTGTGGCAATTACGCTGATGTGCTCTGCTAGATTTATGACGTATGGAGTTTTAGTTTCGGTGGATTAGCTCTCGCATCGTCACAAACGCGGCCGCATTTTTATCAAAGTGGGTACCTGCAGATCCACTCCGGCAGCTGTTATAAGTCCTTTAGACCGCGACTTTAGTGTATGACACGTACTGTAGGATCAACTTCGAGCGCGACTCTGAACGCGCGTATCGTCTCCCGTGCACAATCGTTCCGGCACGCGGCTGTTTGGCGAGTCGCGACACCTCTCTCCACTTTGCATGCACTGTGTTAAAGCACGCCGAGAACTATGCCGTGGAAAGAAAAGCCCTTAGCGCTGTAACACCCCAAGCGGTGCCAGAGCCTAAGCGGTTCCAGAACACCCTGGGGCGCCAGGCGCTACAGCTAGTTTTCAACACAGCGTCAAGCGTCACGGTCGGTTTCCAGCGTGGCGTGGGCCACTGGAAAACATGACATCAGGATCGAGGATCCGGATCGGAGATCGAAGGAGAACAACCATAATGATGATCCTTGGAAGAACTCAGGCGGGATTGGGGCTCGGAACGCATCGCGGAACCGTTGAGAAATGCAAGGGGGAGGCAGGGGTGGGGTCAAATTTAGACGGATGAGGAAGGCGGATTGACGGAACTGTCATGGTTCGGCAGTAGGAGCCTCCACCCACTTGCTACCTGTGAGGCAAGGCTGCACGAGAGGGCACGCCACGCCATAACACGGATCAAAGAGGCTCAACAGGCCGTCGAGGAGGCACGCGGGCCGTTGACCCGGACCCAGGCCGCCAAGTCAGAAAAATTGGCGGCTCACAGGCCCCCAAGGTTCTTGAGGCATTGGACAACGACGCTGCATAATTTTCCATTTTTTTCTATATAGTTTGGCGCGAATTGATGGCGTTCAATTGATTGTAGTCTCGAGTCCCTGTGCCGATTATGTGGCCCGTGAGGGGGTGACCCACTCTAGACGATCACAGCCATTATCCCCTTACTGTTCGGTCTTTGCCCTTACTCCTAGGAATGTTGAATGGTGGCTACTGCGGGGAGTAACTGGTGCGGCAGCGGCACGTGGCCGTAGACGTGATCCACCACGAGACCGGATTCCTTTCCCCCTCATCCGTAATAAACTGTTCGTGAGGAGAGCAGAATGCACGGCGACCGTGACACTGGCCGCGTCGGCCCCGCGCGAGTCGGCCCTGCGGGCTTCCGTGCCTCCCGCTGCCGGCTCGGCAGGACCGGCGCAGCGCCAGCGCTTCCCGTCTGACGCGCGCCAAGCAAACAATCCGAACCCCGCCCCATGCGTGCCGCGGGCCATCCTTATAATAAAAACCAGATTTCGTCCCTGGGTTTGGATGTTATGCATACGGCTACTTTCGCAGCTATATTCGAATCCAAAAATAATTAGGGAACAGCCACGACCGTCACAACCATGCATGTCATATTGGGTAGGAATAAATACTACACATCATCCTAGCTACTCCAATTGGACACGGCCGACAGAGATGAGAGAGTGCGCGGATGGTCTGGACCAAGGACACGCTGCTGAGCCTGCGCGCAGTCCTTTATCAGCGCTAGGGCCTCTGCATGCCGGCCCTGATCCTTCCAGGTGAAAGCGAGGTTATTCATGCTCGTCAGCGTTAAGGGATGGTCGGGTCCGAGCTTGGTTTTGCTCGTTTCCATCACTTCCACAAATAGCTTTTCAGCCTCCCGCCAACGGCCTTGATTCCTGTATGTCGACGCGAGGTTATGTATGCTCGTTAGCGTTGAGGGATGGTCGACTCCGAGCTTGGTTTTGCGAGTTTCCATCACTTCCAGCTCTAGCTTTTCAGCCTCCTGCCACCGGCCTTGATTCCTGTATATCGACGCATGCAACGCCATACTGGCCAGTGTCTTTTCGTCGCTTTTTCCCAACTGTTTTTCACGACTTCTTTTTGCTTTGCCCGCCATCCGCTCTGCTGCCCTGTACCTGCCTTGTTCCAACGCATACCATCCCCCGCGGTGCATGAGGCCTGCCCACAACTCCTGCGTACCCTCCTCAGTTGGCCGGCAGTCTATTGCTGCTTCGACATGCGCAAATAGCTGCTGGCATGTCGCCCAGTTGCTGTAGTCCCCCGTAGGAAACGCCGCCGCCATCCGCTTAACAAACTGTCGCCTGAATTTGTCTTGCAGCCCGTCCGCTTCCAGCCATTGCCGCATCGACAGCTGTACGAGCCCGTGCATCTCCAACACGCTCGCGTTCTCGCTTGTAGATACAAGACAAAAGTCTTGCAGGATGGCCACATCGTCTTCAAAACCGTCATCTGCCTCGTCGCTGCTACTGCCAGATTCCGACCCTGAATCCCGCTGGACACTTTCGGTATTGACGGGCTTAAGAAGCGATAAAGCGATTCCCTGTGGATCGAAGAAGCTCATGAGCGCAAGAAGGTCGGCTGCAGAAGATCTTTTGGACCGGATATGTTCGAATGAAATCTGCCAAGTCGTAAGGATGGCATTTGATGCCCCACCATCCCGCCGTAGGTCACCTGCATCGTGGCCCAGGAGCCGAGTACGTTTGCGTTCGCCCTTATGAAACTCGGCCAAATACAACACGATTGAGCTCAGCGGCGACCTTGCCCGGATGTATGCCGCCGCCTGGCTGACGGCAAGGGGAACAAAGTCAAGTGCCTGCACCAAGGCTTTGGCTGTGTCCGTATCGGGGAGCGGGCCCAGTTTTCTCTCTAGGAGAAGGAGAGCATCGGCCAGGACCAGCGGCCCAATTTCAATAATGTTGTTGTGGTTCCCGGTAAGCCTATATGCTAGGCCCTTGTTGCGAGTCGTAACGACGATGGATCCGTTTCGGCTTTGTGGGAGGTAGCTTGCCAACGGTTTTCCCTCGCGGCCGTCGTTCGTCGCATAAAACACGTCTCCGTCGTCGGTGCTGTCAAGGATAATGGTCCATTGGCCGTTCCGTTCGTTGGAGAGCCAACCGTATACAAGCTGTAATACGTCGGCCTTGGGCTGGTTCCGACCGGGTAGCTTGACGGCGTTGGCAATGGCCTGGAAGCCTTCTTCGACGCGGGCCTGCGTGCCAGCGTGGATCCAGAAGATCCATTTGTTGGGTGTTTCCTCGGCGGTTCGGTGGGCGAATTCGATGGCAAGTTGCGATTTGCTACTATTGTTAGCTTGTTTTCGGCACGGTATATTTTAGAATAACACGTACCCAATGCCACCTAGGCCAACCAAAGCCACACGGCCAGCCGGTTCGAGACACCGCTGGCGAAGCTGGTCGAGAATGTCGCCGCGGTCAACGAAATCGGGGTCGCGGGAAAAGGGAATGGTAGCGAATGGCTGCGGCGGGGTTTCTACGCGTTCTGACTCGAAAGTTAGCAGGGCTTAGCCAGGGTGGATCGCACAACTAACCCGGCGGGAGGTGGATCTCTGTGTTCATCGTCCCATAGTTTTGTCCCAGCTGCTGGCCACGGTTCCTGGATCCGAATGAAGCGGACGGCAAAAAGGCGGGCGATTGAGGACGATCTTGTGACAGCTGTGAGAGTTCGGGGCCTTGGATTTCAGAGGCATACAGTCAGCTGAGAAGTTCCATCTTAAAATTGCATGTTACGGCTTGTCCCTACCGGAAGCGACTTCTGCCACCCATCTGCTCAGCTCTCCAAGTAACCTTTTGAATCCGTTCTCCTCCACAGAGGAAAACCTGACCATGTCCCTGTGGTTGGCGTGAATGCTGATCGAAGTAAAGCCCTCGAAAGTAGCGGATTCCTTGGATACAACCGTCCCGGCGATAGACAAAGGCAATTCTTCAAAGAAGCATGTGACCTCGAGGCGCCTTCCGCTTTCCCGCTGTTCGCGTACCATGTCCAAAAACCGGCCTTGAATAGATTCGAGGAACTGATCTTTCGTTTCCAGGATCCCCAAGAGCGACTCGTTGGTAGACTTGACAAGGCCAATAGCCCTCGCCGGTATCCGACCCCAATCGGCCATCCAAGACCCCTTGTGAGGGGTGCCCATGAATATGATGCCTTTGGTGCAATCGAATATGTCGCGAAGGTGAGATTCGGGATGGTTTCGCGAGTGCAGAATAGCCTCTTTGCAGACAAGGCCGCCCAGACTGTGGGCAACGAAAATGAGGGGACGAGACCGCGCTTCGCAGCTAGCTCTGTCTGTCGTCAGGTCGTTCAGAAGGTTCTTGGCATGGTCTTTCAGCCGATTATTCGATGCAACCGATCGTCGCAACACGTATGCGTCGTATCCGTACGTGAGTATGCGGGCGTTCTTGAGCTTCTGCGGTAGAAGGGTCCCTGGCCAGGGCGTGGACTGCCCGTCGGCGGTCCAGGTACTGTCCCGGTTCCCAGTCAAGCCGTGGACGAAACAAATGTCGACCGTGGCATCGGGACAGTCGTGCAGAACTTTGACTCCATCGGGGAAGGGGGGGACTGGCGGCGCGCTCTCCGAAGGGCCCGGTTGGAGCGGGTCTTGACTCGGTTCTCGAGGCGGGCTCTCGGGGGGGCCCGGCTGGAGCGGGTCTTGGCTCAGTTCTTGCGGCGGATCACGCTGCTCCAAGTGTAGCAGTTCCTTGACTTTCTTCTTCATCCGCTTCATTGTCGAAGCAACCAGTAAGGCGGCCTAGGCTGAAGCACAGTACAGGTAATCGCAATGTTTGATGGTTTAACGACCAAGGCCCGTCGTTTCCGAAATGCAAACTCGCGAGAAGGAGAGGAATGTGGTGGGGCCAGCTAGATGCCCGACACACCTGCCTAACAACGCACCACAGCCAATCATCTTCGCATTTTGGCCGGGCTGAGCATTGCAGTTTTAGCGATACGGACCTGTTCAGCCATTGGCGTGGGGCGGTAATTTGACGAAAATACTCTAAGGCGTCCTGTCCAATCCGGCGCGGCAAGCCTGGCAGCACTGCACGGGTGGCGAAACAAATTAACACGGTTTTGTTGTCAAAGCCCTACGACGCCCCGACGCGTCAATATACCTTATCGAACCGCGTTTTAAAACGGAGGAAACAAAAAGGCAACGGAGTCATGGGTACATCCATCGTACTTTCGTTATAACAGGCAGCTGAGCTAGCAAATTACGCACAGCTGCTGCGCCTCCATTTCACACTCGCCTCCCGAAGGAAGGGGTTCGGCCGGGGCCGTGTGACGCCAACTTTTTTCTCTATTGGAACGTCGCCTCCATACCGGTCTTGGTTGCATAATATTAGCACAGAGCAGACAGACTTGCTATTCGAAAAAATCTATCATACCAAGGCGCAGCGCTCACGCATCGAGGCGGCCCGGCGTTATGCAGTACGACGTACGGCCGCACGATTTCCTGGTCGACGAAACCAAGCCTCAAGATTCCCGACTTTGGCAGGTCCGTCCCTCGACGGGTCGCGGCCCGAAAGCTGCCAGCAAACTGGGGGATTGATTGCCAATCGGGAGCTTGGTTGTTGTTCAGCGGAAGGCGGAGCACCAGGGTTCCAGGGCAGGACGAGCTCCTCCTGGCGCCCAGTCTTTTCCGGCCGAGTTCGAATGCCAGCTTTGCAAGAAGTTCTCGATACCGTCCGACTGGACCAAGCACGTGTAAAAAAGATCTCCAGCCATTGACTTACACTTGTGTCACCGCATGCGGTGGCAAAATGCAATTGCATCGATCGCGGCTGGGACTTGCTCCACGGCCCCGCGCACAGCCAGCAGCCGAGCCGTCGCAATATGCGCGCTGGTCGGCAGGTCGGCATCCAGGTCCTGCAAATAACACTGGGTTCAGCTCGGACGACGCCTCCAACCTGTCCCTGGCTTTTAGCCGCCGCTGGGACGTACTGGGGCTGGGAAGACGATGTCGGGACGGCGCGGATGCTCATTTGGCGGCGTGCGTGCAGCGAGACGACGGCGCAAGCTCGCATTGGGCTTTGACGGACTCGTAATGCCGCTGCTGGACTGCCATCCCCGTCGGCTCCCTACAGGCGTCCGCATCGCTACGAGGGGCCGGGAGTTTCCCCGACAGCCATGTTCGCCTGCTTAGAGCCTCCGACGAGCGTTTTGGAATGGACGCCCCACGCTTTCGGCAGATGTTATGGCACGGCACTGCCAGTAGTAGTTGACAGAGTTGATAGCCGATGGCTGGAGATTAGATAAGGAAGGACTGATAGGATAAAAGTGTGGCTTTCGGCCACACCTCTCCTTTAACCTTTCTTGGACGAGTATGGGCGCATGGCCGCCCGACCGAGGAGTGTGATCGACGCCAGCAGGGGAACGCCAAGCGTAGCTCGCTTCCGGCTGCGGGGGCTGGAGTCACTCCTGGCCTGGTTGGTCTCTGTAGGAGCGGACATCGTCGGACGCGGCGTGGCCGACCCGCCGCGTTACGGGGCAAGCCACCGCCGGCCACCGGCGTTCGCGTACGGCCTTTTGCCCCGCGCCCGCTGGCTTACGAAAACGACCTGGTATCGCACGCGAAAACGGTCGCCTGTTAGGGCAGTTAGATAAAGGGAGACCCCTTCCACCTGTGCTAAAAAGCCAGGACAATTAGAACCGCTGTTCTGTTTGCGATAGGGGTCTTATACACCTAACGGGCACGAGAGGCAGGGCTGTAAGTGCACGGAGGGCACGCCGTACCATAATATCGCTTCCGATTTCGCGACCTCCTCCGTAAAGGGCGATGTAGCGGCGGCGAGGGCCAGGAAACTACTGTTGGACCGTAGCAAAGAGTTTGTAGAAGAGCGGGTGTTTCGAAGAAGCTTTATCGAGCCGGACTTGAAGCTGGTCTTGGAGACGCCAGCTATTGTAAAATCCAACGAGTATATTGACAAGCTCGAGCTTGAGAGGGGCATGTGGCGCTGGCGCTGGTCTCTCCCCGCGAGCACTGAGGTTACCCTGGATGAAGTTTCCGTCGAGCATGGCGACGACGACAGGCTTCTGGTCGGCGACGACGGGCTTCTAATCGCCGAAGCATATCCTCGACCTGCTGGAGTCGTGCATCTTCGTCACCTTTTTTATCCTGATGCGGCATTGGCGCTGCTTGCGTCGATGTAGGCGGAGTTTAAAAGGAATCGGGCTTCGGGTGTAAAGTATGGGCCGTTGCAAGGTTCGTATGGGGAGGGAACGCTCGCTTGCCACGTCGTCGGCTGGGACGCTCTGTTGCATGGATGCAGATGCCTGCCGTCGTTAGCTTGAGATCTGGATGAGAAGCAAGGATGGACGGCGAGCCCCGGACGGGGAGCGTTGGCGCCCTGTGGGCCCGCAATATGGCGGCACGGGATATTCGAAAAGAATTCTGGCCTGTGTTGTCGCGGCTCCAATCGTGGTGGACAAGGTGATATTACGTGCGCCCTGGTGTTCGAGGGAGGCGTGCGAAGGAGGCGCTGCGTCACGCAGCATGCTGGCACCAAATATTCTGTCGACTCCTTTCCTGCCAGCGACTGCTCGCTGCTAACCGATAGCCGAAGCTGAGATGACGTCATAATTTTTGGCGCATCTCCACTATTTTCCAGCGATGCGCCCGCACTTTGGGAAATCGTAGGGTGCTCCAGCTTGGATCCGTGCAGACCCAGGCGCCAAAAACAGCGCGCGCAGGCAGACGCCAGCACCTGCTGGGTCAACTCAGCCGTCCACAGCAACGCCAGCCCTCGCGCGCCCTCCTTCGCCGTGCTGCGCCTAATCGACAGGTAGGACCTGGCCGCTGTACGGGCTGGTATCCAAAGCTTCATGTAGTACGCCCAACAGGTCATATAAAACCACGAGTGCCCCTCCCTACGCTGCAACGCTTACAAGAAGGATGGTAACCCCGACAGCAGGCAGTTGGAACGTAACGTAATCCTGGTTACTTCTGCAGCCTATTTCAAGCCCTCCGCCCTGTTGAGCAATCGCAGACACTCGCATACAGAAACCGTCGCCTCCCACGTCGTTTTTCAGCGCCTAAATGTATCGCAAACAGCCTTTATTTCCGTCCACTGGCGAGCTGCATCCCCGCATGTCCAGTACTTGCTGTGGTTTAGATCGCGAAGTATCGACCACTGCCTGCGCCGCGTGTATGTTTTCCGCGGTTTCGGAGCTGCTTGGGAGACCAGTGGGTGCCATTGAGGTAGGAGCGTTTTAGATGTCGTCGGCATTCTTGTCCGGTACTCGCGAGTCAGGTCTCTGTGCGGCTCTGTAGAAGGTTGCAGGCGCGGAGCTGGCCGAGTTGTTTGCCTCGCCAGGGCGTACTGGCTGCTCTGGCCCAAATCGCGAGGTGTCAACCGCTAGATGCTCGGCGTGTGCGCTGTGTCTCCTTGTTTCAGAACACCTGAAAAAGAAATGCAAAACGCACCGCAAGTGGGATGACCTCCAGCAGAACAGGCGAGGTAAAGTACATAACAACGTGGGTTGTCCACCATCATTCGGCATCAGAAGACCAGACCTCGGAAGAGGAAGGGTCATCACACTCTCTCCCTCCCCCTCCGCTACCTCTTCCGAAATGTCCGCCACGGGCGCCACCGACGCGTTGGTACCGTTGGGACGGACCATGCACACCCACCGCTGGCCCCGCTGGTCCATATACTCCACACGGGTAAGGGGACCGTTCCAGCCCATCTCCTTATCCGAATCGCCATCCGACTCGGGCTCCGAATCGGAGTCGCCACGGGACGCCGGTCCCTCTGCCTCCACCCAAGGAGCCGCCGTTGGAATGTCGACGCCATCCCGGGTCAATAGTATAAGCCAGAAAGCCACGGGCCGAGGCCGAGAATTCTCCTCGTTGCAAACCGAGCGGCGCAGTCGAAGAGGAGGCTGGCTCAGGTTAGCCAGCATCCAGTTAACCTCCCCGGGCTCCGCGGAGGTCGCATGGCCGTTGCACACACGGTGGAAATAACGAGGTTCCTCGCCTTCGGCGGCCAAGTTGGCCGGCCGGACTTCCCAGAGCAGGTGCTGGGGCGAAGCGAGGGAGTACTCGTAGTGGCCGAGGTCCAAAGGAAGGGACAGTCGTCGATAGCCGAAAGAACCAGGAGAGCGGCGCCGGACTCGGAGCGACCCCCTTCGTCAGCCTCATAGAAGAGGCCGTATCGAGCGGCAGGATGAGTGGTGACAGAAGCGCCATGGAGTTCTCTCACAAGAAGAGGTTGTACATGCACCGGGTCCGAACTGCAGCGACCCCAGGAGACGGTCTACCACCACGAACCCACCACGCGGACTCCATAAGTCCAACGTCCGCGTTGAAGGGGTACCCACGGGGCAAAAGACAACATCTCCAGCCCCGGCGGTGACTGCGAAAGCAGCGACCCATTTCGGTATGACCTGAGGCGCAAGCCTGGTCGTGGTCGGAGTGATAGCCACCCGAAGGAGGTCGGCCACATAGCAGTTGCCGCAAGGGAACAGGCGCCGATCGTCGTGGAAGTCCGGAATGCTAGCGATAAGGATGTCCGGCGCCGACCGGCGGTCCTCCTCCGCGAGCAGGCGCAAGGCAAGACGATATGGCGCCTCACCGGTATTAAGGTCGGCAAGGCGCCGAGAAACACCTGCAGGATAGGCGGGCGGCGGAGGACCAGTATGGCTCAGAGACGGGCACAGCCGTGGTGAGCGATGGCGGGCGCAAACGCGACCGCAGGACGGGGACCGTGGATCGACGTGACCCGGAGTCTTTCGCGCACAACCTCATCAACGGAGGCTCGCTCCGCAGTGAGAGCGAAAAGAGACTCGCGATGCGCTGCGTTGTCGGCCTGAACGGAAGACATGATGCTGGGAAAAGTCAGTAGACGCTCGAGACGAGCGCACTGGAGGGGAGGACGAAGACGTACGAAGCCCGTGACCGCAATCTGAAGGCGTCGACAAAGGCAAAGAGCGCGAGCAGGCGCGAGGATATGGAGATCGTGCGAGCGCGAGGAAGCAAGCGAGGCAGGCTTATGTATCAGGAGCGCCAGCCCCGCGGGCAAACAGGCAGTGCGAGGGCAGAGGGAACAAAGCAATAATAGGTTGTTGTTGATTGCTATTGTGGGTGGTGTTGTTGAAAGGAAAAACAACGCCGGTCCGCCGGAGGGAAAACAAAAGGCCCACCGGCAGGCCCGCTCCTGCCCTAACCGTCGCCGGGGCCGCCCGGGCCCGCCGGCCCCACACGGCCGAACGCCACCAAAATCACCTCGACCTCGTCGCCAGGCCAAAAGTGAGGCCATTCCCAACGCCTACCGAACACCAACCGTCCGTGATGGTAAAGGCACCAACAACGCTGGTCACAACGCATTCCACCTCTGGCTTCCTACCAGTGGGCACCGCCGAGACGTCAGCGCCCCGGAGGGGGATAGTGTAAGGCGATCTGCCGCGACAAAGCCCGACGAGGGGGATCCGGATAGGGAATTATGAGCTCAGTATCGCTGCAGAAGCCGGATGCACCGCTATGTATTAGCCCACTAGTCCATACAACACAGTCACGAATCGCTGAACCCGGAACCTCCTATTGACCTGCTCATCTGTACGTTCGTGCATGACAAGCCGTGCTTGCCCACCATCCCTCAAAGAGCTTCAAGCGTGGGTCAGCCCCGGAGGCGAATGGGTACGAGTGATTGACGGACTGGCAGCTCGCACTGACCATCCCTGCCTGTTTTTGGTCATCCGTTGTTTGCGCAGGCAAAGCGCGCAGGATGGAGAGTGGGCAAATCGCCCGTCTCTGTTGGGATAGCTGACATCTGTGCCTTAACCGCGGAGCAAAAAAAGAGAAAGCAAGCCAGCAGCCAACCGAAAATTTGAGATGTCGCCAGTTTGGGAGAGAGCGTCAAATTCCACACAAGCCGCCGCGAGGCTTGCATCTTTTGGTTTGGACGGATAGGGATGGGTGCTGCAGGCTGGGTAGCAGCCCCCTGTTGGAAAGGTCCCCACCGGCGCCGGGATGTGCTCGCCGAGCGGTGGCGAAAGCTTGACATAACTTCATTTATTGGAGCACACAACAAATCACCGAGGACCGAGCACTGGCGGTGGCGGTGGCGGGGAGTCGGGCTCGGGTTCTATAGCGGGCCTGGATGGCTTCAAGCGGCGCGGCGACAAAGCTCTGGAGGGCATTGAGATTTCCCCCGGCCTTCACATCTTGGTTCGGCACGCCATCCCTGGATCTGGAAATTTATGTGGTCGGGAATTTCCCCGACTTGCCAAATCATCCCCCACCATTTTTGAACCATTTCTGGTGTCGCACGTCCAGCGGAGGGACAGACTAAGATAAAGGTCTCGATAACGGGGATAGGGTGCTTTCTGAGCAGCCCGTGCACGGCGTCGATAACGCGGACCGGCGCGCCAAAGCGGCTGCGGCGTCGTCGGCGGCCACGGTCGAGGAGAAGCTGCACCGCGAAAGCAGACGATGCTGGTTGCACCACAGGTTGCTTGATCCCCCTCAGCCAGCCAACCAGAGCGGCTGGTGCAGAGTGGTTCGAGGTTAACCTTATTTTCTTAGCCCTTTTTTCTTCTACGCACACTACAAGTTGCCTTTTCAGCATTTGTCTGCTTATATTGCGCATGGCCCGACAGGTCCGAGATGCTATCTCCATTGGACCCGACCAGGGCGTACAAAGCTCGAAAGATTGGTCCCACCTAAAAGTGTTGGCCGTTTCTCGTCTCCCGTTCGCAGCTCTCCCGCCAAATTTCCTTTTTCCCTTCAGGTTTCCAGGTGAGGTGAGCTGGCCTGTCAAGACCGGACGCCGATGCATGCAACCGAATTCAGTTTCGAACTAAGGAGAATCCCGAGTTGCGTCGATCCGTCGGACCGCACTCCGTATTCTTCAGCATCGCGAAAAACCCGGTCGATATAATCACCCGCCCCCGAAAGGTGCAGGATGTGCCCAATCGCGCTATGAATGGCAAGCAGACGAGGCGAGGGCGGGTCGATATTCCGGTCTTCGGTAAGGTAAAGGGTTCGCGTAACTGGCAAACCTAGAGTTTCGCCAACGAAATCCTTGAACGCATCGATGCGATACGTATGCGGGGGTTGGTCGGGAACAGGCTCAAAAAAGATCTGAAAGGAGCCGAAGTCAAGATGGTGCTCATGTGATAGAGTGATGGCGTTGTAGGGCCGGTCGATTTCGGCGCCTTCAATCATGTACACAACTCCCACGTCGAACATATTCAAAACATCCAAGGCGGCTTTTCTCCCTGGGCTCTACATGCCACGTTATAGGTGTCAGCCCGCAAAACCCAATACGGGGACTGGGACTTGGGGAAAGGGGGTTGCCGTCCATGTACCAACAGGGAGTCTGAAGCTTTGGTCAGCGAATGCGGGAGGATATGGGCAACTTCCAAAGTCCGGAAGTCACGCGGCCCGATTAGATGGCCGTCATCATCCCTGGCATTTCCTGGCGCGGCTTCATAACGCTTACGGCCCTCGGTGGTATCGAATTTGCGTGAGATCACACAGCGGTGGCGATCGCGGACGAGACAGGTGCCGCGGAGAGTCGAGACGCGTTCTGGCGTACCGACGACGGCTTGGGGCAAATCGGAGCCTTGGGCCCTCTGAACGGCGGAATTGGTGATGGGGGACGGCTGGGGAGTTTTGTTCGAAACGGCCTTTACTAGGTAGTAAAAAGAGGCATATGTTAGACTGGCCCGGCGGAAAGGACAAGGAGAGAGAAAGGACAAGGAAGTCTTACGCGGCAAGAAGAAGTTGTCCATTAGGTACTCTGCGAAGGCGTCCACCGATTTGCAAAGGCGCTCCTTCACCTCCGGGTCGCCGAAATCGACGTCCGAATCGGTGACGTTGCCCGCGAGAGGAAGATCCAGATGTTCGAAGAAGCTCGACAAAAAAAGGCTCTTGGAATCATCCGACCGCGCATAGTCGTGGGTGAGCCGGACGAGGGCGGGGTGGTTGTAGCCCTGCTGCGGCTGCTGGTTTGCGGCAGCCTCGCAGTGCTGAAGAATGTGGCGCATACGGATGTTGGCCTGGGCGCGCGTATCTTCTTCCATGACGGGCGTCCCGGCGTGCAGCATGCCTTGGAGCGACGACTGGTGCCGATGATGGGGCCCTGCCGGGTATGCGTTTGTTCTCAGGTCCATCTCCGAGGCCCGGATTTCGAGTCGCGGCTTGTTGCTGGTCTGTGCTGGGGACGGCCCCACTTGAACAATAAAGCGGAAAAGAACAGCAGGGGACAGGAAAGAGGACAGGAAAGAAATACGAAAACACGGAAACACACGACCCGTGCATCCCTTCGAGTGCCATTAGGCAGAATAGGAAAGGGATAGGCAAAGGCCAACCTGTTTGTTGTTGTGACTCGGGTACGCTCGCGCTGTGTGATTTTTGCAGTTGGGTAACGTATTCGCATGGAATGTGCTGAAATGATGCCAAGTGCTAACTTGGGCGGATCGTTGATCTGTGACTCACACATGTACCTTTTGAAGGTCGCTCTTCCAGGCCCGCACTCTATGATCATCATGCTTGTTCCGACTTTGTTCTTGCTTTGGCGCGTCCGCCACCCGCCCCACCCGCGTCTGGTCGGCTTAATTCGTGGCATCCTCGCCCATCCGCCTCGCCTTGCGTGTCGCTCCGGTACTCCCACCCCCGAAACCAGCTGACCAGACCCATGTGCCGCCTGCCCACCACCTTCCTCTTTGCGGAATCCGCTTCCCTCATCACTGACTTCCCCGTCCAGTCTTCCAGTTCGAGCTCGTCGGGTTCCAAATGGGAGGAGGAGCAGCCCGCTGCTCCCACCTCTGCTCCCACCGCCGCTCCCGCCTCCGCTCCCGCCTCTGCCCTTTTCAACATTTCGCGCGGTCTCGCACGCGCCGACCGCTGCTTCCGCTGTACCTTGCGGGACCAGCCTTGCAACCTCGCTAGCTGCAAGTGCACCGCCGCCCTCCCCGTCGTCACACACCCGAAACAACGTTGGCTTCCGCAACCCAAAGAGGAGGATTGCCGACGACCAATCATTTGCCACACGGCTCGATCGGTCGCAGGCAGCGGCCATTTGAGGATGCCGATATGTGGGTCTGGCTCAAGCCTGACCAATCATTTTTTAGCGGCCTTTGTTCCTATGGAAATCCACATGGCTGACGGTTGCCGGACTCTCCGAAAAAGAGTGCGCTCGCTCAGCTCGACGAGGCGGCAGCCGTGGATCCGCAGGAGCGGCTGGGGCGCCTCGGGGCTCACGGGGGATCGTACGGCGGTCTTGGACCAGGACGCCCTGCTCTCGCCTCAGCCAGGCCTCGGCAAGGAGCACCAGGTCCGGTGCTACCACGAGCTCGTCAGCGACGGCGGCCGACCGCCCTATTCGCTGGAAACGCTTGACGATGTATACGAGCACCCCGCAGAGTTTATCGAGATGGTGCGGCCGTGGATGGAGGTCCTGTTCTCCTCTATAAACCCCGATAACTTGGGCGTGTTCTCGCGCCGCCAATACGTTCGAAGGAGTTCCGGAGGTGGCAGCGCGACAAACGTGGGCAGCAGGCGGAAGGGTAATCGCTTAAACGATTGGTAGACGGCAAGCGGCCCGCCCGGGCCCGCCGGCCCCACACGGCCGAACGCCACCAAAATCACCTTGACCTCGTCGCCAGGCCAAAAGTGGGGCCATTCCCAACGCCTACCGAACACTAACCGTCCGTCCGCGATGGTGAAGGCACCAACAACGCTGGTCACAACGCATTCCACCTCTGGCTTCCTACCAGTGGGCACCGCCGAGACGTCAGCGCCCCAGAGGGGGATAGTGTAAGGGGATCTGCCGCGACAACGGCAGATCACCGCCACAGGAGGTGGCTCGAGCCCTGGAGGGCCCACGCCACGCGGAGGCCTAAGGCACCCAGGCACACGACAGGAGCCCGAGGCCCGCGTTACTTAGGCAGCTTGTGGGAGGCAATTAGAGTAGTGCCGAGGACAAGCTGATGTTGTTGTATCGACCCTATAGCAATACAGGCCTTCAACCCTCTACAGATCGTCTGCTATCATCGTGATCACCTCGTACAGGCCTTCGGCTTACCCCGTGACACGTTACCCCGCCCGTACAAGCGAATATTTTAGGGAAACATATCAACTGATTTGATATGTATACAGCAGATAAGATTCTCGAGCCCGCGGAGAGAAAATATGCAGACCCCGAGGCCGCGCAGGCACAGGCACGGCACGAGATGCACGACAAGAAGGTCGAGATTGACCTCTGGAATCTCGATATTTCGGGTATGACCTCGCAGGAGTTGGGGAGCTATGAATTGCCTAAATAGCATTTGTTACACAAGAGATGCACGGGCATGTCGTTGGCATGGCATTCGGGTCCAGATGGGCCGCCACGATGGTGCAACATTGGGGTAGATGTGCCCTCCATATTACCCATGGCGCAGTATTAAATTTCCCACTTAAATAGGGATATGCCCACATTTGAGACGGTTAGGGAATAGGCCCGACACATACACAATAGAGTCAGATTTAGACGCACTTTTGCACGCTGTTGACATTTCCATCTGGACGAAATCAGATCGGGGGGTGGTGTTTGGACGCAGTGACTGGGACGCGAATTAAAACACAGGTTAGCGAAGGTGCGGACCCGAGGAGGCGTGGAGGAAGACGAACACCGCCAGACTGGATACGTGACAGAATAACAAAGATGGGAGTACTACTGACCCTGCATACCGACAGCGGGGCTCCCTGAGTGGAGGATACCGGAGGAAAAGGTGCTGCGACGAGGATGGGTGGACAGCCCAGATACGCGCCCGAGCAGAGGCCGCTAAAATGCCGTGAGGGGAGGCGGAGAAGGTCGAGGTAGAAAGACCACAGGGCCAGTCGGACAGGGGCAAGAAATTCCCACGGACCAAAATACTGTACACGCAGGAGAAACTGCGCAAGAACGACGAGGCGAGGAGCAGACACGCGCGACGCGTCGGGTATGGAACAAGGAGTCCCTGAACCGCTGGACCCCGGTTAGCTCGACAACACCTCCGCTGGTCAGCCCCGGCGGTTCCAGTCACCGGCACCAGGGTGTAGCTGGCCCCGCATGCTTGTGCGCGACGCCCAAAACGGCTATGGACAGGGAGTGCCCGCAGGGTCCTGCCTGCAGCCTTGGTTCCTGTTCACCCTTGGTTCCTGTTCACAGCCTCAGCGTTGTTACGGATCTTTGCCTACCAAAGAGACGTTGCTGCAGTAGGGTAGAACTTCGAAAAAACCCGGCCTTTCGATAGGCTATCAATCAGAGATGCAGGTGTGGCTGCGCACCGCCTCGCTGCCGTTTTGGGGCTGTGCGAGTCGGGCGTTGCATTAAAGCCTTACCCCTCCTTTCGCGACCTGACGATGCGCCCTTCAAGTTCTCGACAAGCGCTCGTCGACATTTTACTACGACATCCATCCGCCCTATATCGGCTGATTACTGACTTTTCATTCTCATTTCGTAAGTGCTACCGGCTTGCCGTGCGATGGAGGCTTTGGGAGCAGCAGCAAGCGCCATCGCGGTGGTCGAGCTCGCCGCAAACGTCGGCGCACTCTGCCTACAGTACTCCCGCGATGTCAAAAAAGCCAAAGACGATATCGACCGCTTTCGACAGCAAACAGAGGCTTTAAAGACAATTGCCGAAGGTGCGCAGCGGCTTCTGCAAAGTCCAGATGGGTCTCGATTTGAGACCGCGCAAAACCTGCGCAGCGCCCTTGCGAACGCCCGCTCGCAGCTCGATCCCATTCACACGAGGTTAGAGGAGAAACTGAAGAATGGCCGTACGCATCGTGCTATGAGACGTATGGGTCTGCGCGCCTTGGTATGGCCGTTCGAAAGCAAAGACGTCGAGAAAATCATCAGCGACCTCCGGCAAGAGCGGGACGCGATATCCGCCGCACTCCAAGTAGATCAAACGTTCGTCACCCCACCTACAAGCCTTTATTACGTAGCTAATTTCGCGCAATAGCAAGCTCACCGCCGACATTAACCGCAAAATCGACATTTCAAAGCTCCTTGTCGCGAAAGGCGCTGCATTCGATGCCCAGGCGAACGAACACGACCCTAACTGCCACCCCGATACCCGTGTGGACCTTCTCGCCGACATTCACAAATGGATCGAGGATCCCAACGCAAAATGCATTTTCTGGCTGCGTGGCATGGCCGGCACCGGCAAGTCAACAATCTCTCGAACGGTGGCTAAAAAGCTTTCTGCGGCAAAGGTGCCTAGTGCGAGCTTCTTCTTCAAAAAAGGCGAGGGCGACCGCGGCAGCGCCGCCATGTTCTTCACCACCATACTCGCCCAGCTCGTCCACCAGGTGCCGGTCTTGGAATCACATGTCCAAAGTGTAATCGAGAACGATCCAGCCATCGTCGACAAAAACAAGAAAGAGCAATTCGAAAGGCTCCTCCTGG